CTTCCTCTCTCCTTCCCACCTCTGAAAACAATGGTTGCTAAATAAATGCTACTGATTATCCATTAGTCAATAAAATAATCTGAAAGTGCTAAATACTATGTCCTTCTCCTGATCTTTCCCCCTTTCCTTCCTCTCCTCTCTTCTCAGCCCAGACTCCCCCTCTGGTCCACGCTAACTCCCTTTGCTCATTTTTCTTTTTTGACGTGGTCCAGGGACTTAGCCTGACAATTTGGGGAGGATGTAAGGAGTGAGGGCTTCCACTTCCCAAGGCTCCTTTTGGGTTTCTAGACTGTAGAGTGGGACCCAGTCTCCTCAGCCCTCTTTACACTTATGCATACGAGCCTCTTTTCTATAAAAGTGCTACTATTACCATAATCAGAAACAGCCAGGGGATCATAAAACCCTTTGGCAAGGGGAAACCCCAGAGCTTAAGAAATCTTACAGGTCTGTAGGCTCATGATGCCAGCCTGAATTCCTGCTTCTCTCTCTAAAGTGGTAACTGGACCAAAGGAACAAGACTTTCAAGTGCACTGAAAAGGATAAAGGGTAAGCAAGTTTTAAGCTAGCCAACCCCGCTGGCACTGCATGGCAAGGATTGCACATAAGCAGCTGGGAGTGGGCAGCAGTGCTCATGACTCTGGCCACTGCTCCTGTGGGCCTCCTTTATTCTTACATTTCTCCAGCTTCTGTCCCTCCACTTTGTCTCTAGTCTTCAGCCCTGGACTTGACTGTTGTCCCTATGCGCAGACGGTGCCTCTTGATTTCACTCTTCAAAGTCCTCTGTCTGGTGAGTCTTTGTTTGGACATTCCCTCTGGCTCCATTTCTTTTAGGCCATTCCTCAGAAGCCCACCTTAACTCTGACTCTCGTAGACAGCCGAAGATGGAATCAGGCACATGCGAAGAACCTACAAATAAATACCTTTTAAAAGTGAACATGATGAAGTGTTCAGTGCAAAAGGCCTGGGCATGCTGGGGCTGGCTGGCGCTGGCCCATGAGAGCCAACTGTGAGGTTTCCAGGAATTTTGCAAGTCAGTTGTTAAACATAGCCATTATTAAATTATTTAAACTTATAACTAAATAAATGATATTGAAATAAAGGGAATGCATATGTAAAACTCATCACTTCTTAATCACATTACTACATGTTACGATTTTCTCTCCTCTTGGGGTTATCTGCATCTACCGTACCTGGATGATGGGCATGCCATAGACTGGTGTGCCATTACACTTCTTCCTGATTCTGCATTCAGTCAGCCGTGGTGAGAGCATTTACACCATGCAACTGAGAAAATGCTACAAAGGGAGCTTTTTTCTCCTATAGAACCAGCTGTTAAATACTTAGCAGCACACAACTACAAAAGAGTGCCAGTGTTTTGCAGAAGCAGTTAATGAAGACAAAGCATGGGGTAAGGGGGATACTTGTAGTTACTTCCCCAGAATCTAGTCTCATACTGTCCCCTTCTCAAATAGGACCTTAAATTTCCCAGCCACATTGTCTGCATAGGGCCTTGCCTCCAGCTGCAGAACTTACTGTCATGAGCCCATTGGCTTATCCCAAACCTCTCACTACAGTCACCCTGGTTCAAGGATGGATTAGCGATCCAGATCAGGCCAACTGTGGCCCCTGGGGCTAATTTGAAGGACCTGCATTTTAGCGACCTGGAGATCTAAGCTGTCGTTCCTGGTAGACATACACAGGGAAGCTTGCAGCTCTGGAAGACACTGGTAGCCATCTTGGACCCACAAATGAAAGAGCCTGCCCAGGAATGCATATAAGTTGAGGAAGTAGAACCAAAAAACAGTGAGAGAAAAATGAGATTCTGAACCAGGCACAGACTGAAAATTCACGTGATTGAGTTAGACTCTTAGTTACTTGCACCAAAAGGATTTCTTCCTGATACATGACATGGAGTTCATACCTTTAGATGAGGTAATTGCAGGAAAAAGCACACACTCTTGATCATTCTAATTAGGCTGTGTATGAATATTTACCTGACTTTCCAACCAGACAGAAAATGCTTTGTAAGCTGAAGCTTTTTATTGTGCATCTTTGTCTCTGCAGCGAACTTAACACTGTGCCCTGCACACAGTAGGGGGCACGCACAGTCACCTGTCGCTTCAGGATGGGGAGATGTTCTGAAAAATGCGTCTTTAGGCAATTTGGTGGTTGTGCAACCATCATAGAGTGTACTGAAGGGGAACAAAATTTGCCACCCCAAAGTGCGTCTCTTTAACGTGAGGATTATTTTAGGCTGATTATTTCTAAAAAACAAAGACTCAGAAGGTTTTTCTTGCTACGGCCCCACCCCCTCCGAACAGCCTAAAAGAATCCAGATTAAAAAACCTGTTTCAGGAAGCAAGCTATCACCTTAGCATCACATGAACTAGGGGGTAGACAGGGAGAAACCTGTTTGTAGGGGCCCCCTCTGTGTTCTTCTGTTTCTGTGTGGCCAAACACTTGTTTTTCAAATGTTTGCTCCTTTTCACCTACCTGTGAGTTGCCTTCCTTCCCTTGAAGTCTCTGACTCTCCCACCCTCAACATGCCCTTTTGTCTTTAGCTGAGGACGGTATTTAAGGGGAGGGCTCTGGCCATTTTGGCGAGTTCCTTAGTTTTCCCAGGTTTCTCCCATGTATACATTTAATTAAACTTTTGTTTTTCTCCTGTTAATCTGTCTGACGTCCATTTAATTCTTAGACCAGCCAGAAGAACCTAGAGGGTAGAGGAAAATTTCTTCCTCCCCTGTAGTACTTACACAAACCTAGATGGTATAGCCTCCTACACACCGAGGCTACATGGTACTAATCTTACACAATTTATTGTTGACCAAAATGTTGTTATGCAGGGAGTGACGGCAGTAGTAAGTGCTTAATTTAGGCTTAATTGAATTGGTTAGTAAGTCAGAGAGGGATTGTGCAAGAAGCATAGTGAATCAGAGTAAATTCCTCTTCTCTTCTTTGGCCAAGCAGCCAATTTGGATCCATCTGTTGTCATTTGTGAATGTCCCAGGAAAAAGGAATGAAGCAATAAGGTTCTTCAGTCCAACAGTGAAGTCTCTCGATGGGAGAAGGCCGCCGTTTTCTGCTGGAGCACAGTGAAAATAAGCCATGGTCTTTTAGTCAGCGTACACACTAAGAAAACTCTTTCAGTCTATGCTTTCATGATGCCAAATATCTGGATAAGAATTAAAATGTGCAGTCAACATGGCTCAAAAGATCTGCGCATGTGACACCGCATCAATAAAATATCCTGTTACTTAACCAGACTCCTCATTGTCCATCCAGGGTTCTGGGCTGTTTACATCAGTGAAAGTGTGACAGTCCCAGAACTGTATGGCACTGTGGCTCTGAATAACACCAGCCGCTTATGAATTGGAGAGGGAGATAAGTATAAACACAGGCAAATCACAGAGTGTTTCAGTTACATTTAAAGGTGGAAGGAGGAAATAATCATAGAAATAGGGCCTCTGCCTTCCCTTCCCCCTCCCTTCCTGTCTTTTCTTCACAACCCTATCACTGTCCAACATACAATATAGCTTATTTATTTATGTTAATCTAATTCTCTCTGCACTTCCCAGAGTGTGAGGTTCTATTTGCAGTCCCTAAAACAGACTCTGGCCTATAGTAAATGCTCAATAAACGATTGTTGAGATAGCCTGAAGAATGGAGATTTGCTAATCAATTCCTATATCAGAAATTAAAACAGCCTGGTGAAAAAAAGTACTTGTTTTTCTAAATTAAACTAAAAGACTCTGTGACTTAATAAGTGCCAGCTCAATCACAATCTAACTTTGTGACTATAAACAATTTGCTTCACATTAGGCCCCTCAGTTGTTCCATCCGGAAAATGGGGATAACAGAACCAGCCCTAGACACTTCAAAAACTCTTAGGTGTCCCCAAAAAAGGCATAGCTGTAACAGTGTTAGATTAAACACACAATGCAGGAGCTTAGCTGTATTGGACAATTTTTCATAAAATTAAACAGTTACCTCAGTTGTGCATTTACTTACTAACCTGGCAAAATTCCATTTTTCACCTTTTCTTCTTATATCTCCTTGCAACCATGTATTAACCAGTTTTCTATATTCCTATTGCTTCCAAGTATTGGTTATCATAAATTTTAATTAACTAGCCCTTTCTAAACAAAACTGCCAATTCCTACGCTGCAGACTTGCCTTCAAAGTCTCAAACTTTTCAATGATGAAAATAGGCATACTCAACAAATCCAATCCAACTGATACTTACTTAAAAAAGTGAAATAGCATTTCTCCAGGGTACCCACCCATCTCTGCAGTATGTTAATAGCAAACCAGTCTTTCTGTTGTGAGAATTCTATCATCCTTTTCCCATCTTCTCCTTCAAGCTAAATCCTATTTTGCAAGGTCTTCCTTCCAATCTTTAAAAACAGACCCTGTACCTTTAACAACAGAGACCTGGTGAGAGGTTTCTTTCCAAACTTGTTCCCTGGCTTCCAAGTGACGAAACCAGCTGTAATTTGAGAGCAGAGAGATCCTCAGGATATCATTAGCCAAGGGAAAAGCTCGGCATTCCCACCCAGTCCAGGAGTGCAAATAGTATCACAGGGCGAGAGCCTTCTCTCCAGCTGCAGGCTCCATCTCCCAGGACCAAGGGGGACTCTGAGAGTAAGAGCAGGGCAACAGAGCCAGCGGCCTGCCGGAACCCTGGAGGAGGGGATCCCCCTCCGCCCCGCCATCCCGCTGGGAAAAAGCCGGCTGAGTTCCAGCTACAGAGCCAGAGCCCGAGCCCGCCCGCAGGAGCGCAGAGCCAGGGTGCATCCTGCGCTGGCTGCCGCCCGGCCGGCTGCGCTACCCCAGCGCCGGTGCCACAGCCACATGAAGCCTGCTGGGGAGGCGGGGCCAGGGTGCAGCAAGCCGGCTGGGGCTGAGGCTGACGCCGTCTCAGGGAGGCACTGACTCCCCAGGGAACCCCCTTCCTCGGGCGTGGGCGAAGTCTTCTCCAAGGGTCCCTGGTCATCCTCAATACCCAGAATGGTGTTCCTGAAGTTCCTCTGGATGGGTTTCTTCTGCTACCTGTGTCAGGGCTATTTCGATGGCCCTCTCTACCCGGAGATGTCCAATGGGACTCTGCACCACTACTTCGTCCCCGACGGGGACTATGAAGAGAATGATGACCCCGAAAAGTGCCAGCTGCTCTTCAGGGTGAGTGACCACCGGCGCTGCTCCCAGGGGGAGGGCAGCCAGGCCAGCAGTCTGCTGAGCCTCACCCTGCGGGAGGAGTTCACCGTGCTGGGCCGCCAGGTGGAGGACGCTGGGCGCGTCCTGGAGGGCATCAGTAAGAGCATCTCCTACGACCTAGACGGGGAAGAGAGCTATGGCAAGTACCTGCGGCGGGAGTCCCACCAGATCGGGGACGCCTACTCCAACTCGGACAAGTCCCTCACTGAGCTGGAAAGCAAGTTCAAGCAGGGCCAGGAACAGGACAGCCGGCAGGAGAGCAGGCTCAACGAGGACTTCTTGGGGATGCTGGTCCACACCAGGTCCCTGCTGAAGGAAACGCTCGACATTTCTGCAGGGCTCAGGGACAAATACGAGCTGCTGGCCCTCACCATCAGGAGCCACGGGACCCGGTTAGGTCGGCTGAAAAACGATTATCTTAAAGTGTAGGTGGAAGGGCGCCCTTCCTGGAGAGGGCGTCACACCAGCGCCGTTGGTGGGGTCGGGGGGAGGCGGGACGGAGAGGGAAAAGAGGGGCTGACATTTCCCTTATACTTATTATTTTTTTATATCCAGATTTGCACTTGGAGAGTGATCTGACATCATCTTTTAAAAGAAATAAGTGAGAGTTGAGTGGGTTTGTTTTTGTACATTATTTATGTGATTGCTATTGACTTGTCACCTGGAAGGAACACTTGAAGGCCATGGCTCCCACCTTTCCTGGAGGGCTTTCTAACTTTGCAGAGACACCTGTTTCAGCCACATCTAAAAGGACACGGTCTATGCAGTAGAGACTGACGAACCTTCCCCATCCTGGAGATTACGTGGAAATACCCAGAGAGCATGGTGCACGGCTCCTCGCCGCCTGCCGGCTTCTCTCCAGGCTCTGAAAGCTGTCACAGTTACCTGTTTTCAGATGGGGTTCAAGGTGCTGCTCTGCATGTCCGCCCGTGGATGGAAGTTGCCTGTTTCTTCTTCTCCTTTTCTCTCTTATTTATTAACCATGGTCTCCTAGGTTTTGTTTTCAGTTTGGGCGCTTCAGGGTTCTGTTCTGGTAAAGGTATTGGCTAGAAATTATGTGCAAATTTTCCTCTGCAGGAAGATGTCTGAGGTGCCTCTGTGGTGTGTGTAAGTTAAAGCAGCCACGATGAAGAAGTCTAAGCTTTGTGGTGGTGACGTATTCCTGTTGACATGCTGTCTCTCATTGTATGTGTGTGTCATCAGGGCTACGGTCCGTCACAGAGCGATAGATGGACTGTCTGAGCTCACCCCCAAATGCCTATGACTTAGGTTACCAATGTATTCTTTCTCGTTGGGGGGTTTTGCTTCTGTTTGCTTATTGGAAACCTGTGCTTCAAGTAGGGGGAATTCTAATTCTAATAGCTCCTTAACTAAGTTTTATTATTCAGCCAATAAATATGTTCTCGTACAATACTGGCTTATTTTCTACTTTCTACTCATAACTTTCAAATTGCAAAGAGGAGCCGATGCAAAAGGACAGAGAAGGTGGCGATTTAAGCTCGTTTACTTAGAGTGTATGTTCAACAAGGCAGAGGGACAGCTACGTGCTTGGCAATCCTCCGTTCCCTGCCACCCTTACCATCCTCGAAAGAAAAATACTCTAGGCCCTGTCAGAACTTAATCTCTGCTCGTCTGCCTAAAAACCTCAGTTTTCTCCAGTTTTTCCCAAAGAACCAACTGGAAAAGTTTATGACAAGGCTTATACCCTATATGCCCTCATAAGGCAGAGGAAGGGTTCCATTCTAAGTTATAGGAACTACAGTGACGTTTAATAATTTTGAAGCCAGGTCTGTGTTATTTAATTAATGATTTAAAATGCTGGAAATGCACTTTATTTCATGTCTTTCTCTGGCCAAACCTCACCCTCACCTTAAATATACTTTCCTTTCACACATGCACACAGACACACACACACACAGGTGAGAAAATAAATAAATGTTCACAATCTACTCTTCGACAGTGAGCCATTTTTCTCTCCCATGCATGAGGAACCCAGTTTTCTATTCCTGTGAAGTGTCCAAAATCCTCCTATTACAGTAGGGGAAACCGAGTTCCGGGGAATGACTGATCCCCGGCTAGCTGTAGCAGTGCCCGGTCTCTTAGATTTAAGTAGAGTAGTGCTCTCTTATCCTCGGTTTCGCTTTCTGTGGTTTCAGTTACCCACAGTGAAACTCCGACTGAAAATATTAAATGGAAAATTCCAGAAAAAAACAATTCAAAAGTTTTAAATTGTGCACGTTTCAGAGTAGTGTGATGAAATCTCTCCCTGTCCCACTCCATCCCACCCAGAATGGGACTCATCTCTTTGTTCAGTGGATCCCTGCCGTGTCTGCCACCTGCCCATTAGTCACCTAGTAGCTGTCTGGGCTTCCAGATCGATTGTCATGGTATCGCAGGGCTTATGTTCAGGTGACCCTTATTTTCCTTAATAATGGCCCCAAAGCCTACTTTACTATTAGCTTCTGTTGTTAATCTCTTATTGTGCCTAATTTATAAATTAAACTTTATCATGTGTATGACGTATGGGAGAAAACACAGTATATATACAGTTGGGTACTAAACACAATTTCAGGCATCCACAGGGGATCTTGGAACATGCCCCCCCCCCCCCCCCAAGATAAAGGGGAAGTACTGTACAGGGCTGCTCTCTTCAAGGATGCTGAGAGATGAGAGGCAGTGGCCTGAAGCCTGAATCTTTGCATAACTATCTCATTGTTTAAAATAAAAAAGAAGAACTTATGGAATAATACTTAGAATAATCATTTGTAAATTCTTCTTGTCATCCAGGGGCCTTGTCATTTCAGCTGCCTCTAGACTGGTGTGTGGGAAGAAGGTAAATGATCGCTTAAAAGGGTTTCTGGGGCTGGCCCGGTAGCATAGTGGTTAAGTGTACGCGCTCCATTTTGGTGGCCCAGCAGGCCGGGATCCTGGGCACGGACCCAGCACTGCTCGTCAAGCCACGCTGTGGCAGCGTTCCACATAAAATAGAGGAAGATTGGCACAGATGTTAGCTCAGGGCCAATCTTCCTCACAAAAAGAAAAAAGGGTTACCTTCTTTATTCTATGAAAGATGAGGAAAAATAACGGCAGAGGCAAAGGAGATGATATTTGGTTCTTAGATTTTCCCCACTGCAGGACAAGGATATGGACACATGACACAATGGAAATCTGGTTTCCACTGCATGCCAATTTCAGTCAATTGGTAGTAGTTGTGTGCGGTATTATGCTAAGAAGGATTTTAAAGGCACAGATGTAAAGATGTAAACTGCCCCCAATTAGAGATGTCTTCCATGGGCTCAGGAAGAGAATCAGTGACACATCTGCGACAAATTTGAAAATCCTGAAATAGATTCTGCATGAGGTTCTTTCCAGTGCTAACATTCTATGATTCCTCAAAACCAAAACTAAATTGTCTGACGCTGAATCATCCATTCAAGGCTAGATGTGCAGCCAGTAATCCCAAAGTCTTATGTAAATGGCCCCAGAGGGCAACGGGAACTTCCAGGCGGGGAGACGGAGCATCCCGGACTGCCAAACCGGAGGCCAGTGTCACAAGGCTCTTCCCAATGCCCCTATGGCGGAGAGCCAGCCCCACTCGGATCTTACCCCCCACTTCCTCATTATTCTTAGGGTTTCATTACCCACACGGTGACAAATTCTCTTTTAGAATTGTGGTTCTTTATTTCTTAGACCATGAAATACGTTGATAATCTGAAGAAAACTACATACTGTCTTCCCTGAGAAATCTACTTACAAAATCATCCATACAAGTCAGGATATGTGTTATTTTTATGAATATTTGTCAATCAGTTAGTCTACGTCAGGCTCTGAGTTAGGTTGTAGGCAGTTCTGGGACATTACAAAGCCTTGTGACTTCCTCTAGCCAAAAGTTTTAAAAGCCTCCTAGAGTTTAATTTGGAGTAGGAGGCTCTTAGTAGTAGCAGTAGTTATAATAACAACAAAATAGCTAACTTTTTTGAGAACTCAGTATTATTGGCAGGGCCTCTGCTAAGAACTGTTGCCTGTTATTTCCCTTAATTCTAACAACAAACTGTGCTAGGAAACTGTTATCTAAAAGGAATTAATACATGCCAAGTGCTTAGAATAGTACCTGACATTGAGTGGATGCTCAGTGAAGGTTAGTCATTGTCATGTTGTTGCTAGTGCTCTGGAGTGGATTCTGACTCCCAGCGACCCTGTGCACAGCAGAGCGGGACCCTGCCCGTCTTTCTGCTCCACGCTGTCACCATCCAGTGCTGGATCAGACAGTGACCAACTGCTGTTCACCAGGTTTTCAAGGCCGAGTTTTCAGAAGTGGGTGGCCAGGTCCTTCTTCCTAAGTTGTTATTATTATAACTATTATAATTATTATAACTGTTATAATTATTATTATAATATTTCTATAACTGAGGCCCAGAAAGTCTAGACGATTTTCGCAAGGCTAAAACTCTGTGGTGTCTTATATACCTCACTGTGCTGTCACTTTTTAAACTAATGATTATCTAGTGGGATATATGATTAAACAAAAGAAGAATGTGGAGGGTAGGGGTCCACTGGGGCCACCTGCTGTCCACTCCAAAAGTCATCCCCTAGAGGCCGGTCAGCCTCCATCCTACAGCAGCACAGATGTCGCACTGCCGTCAGTCCGAAGCTGAGTGGCTCCTGGGTCCCGGAAGTCCTCAGGGAATCCCTCGCTGTGTGTTGCATTGTGCAGCGCCACAAACCCCCACCTCCCCATCTGACCGCGTGAACACGTCCATCCTCCTGCTTCAAAGCATTCCAGAGGCAGCTATCTAGAGTCTGCTGATAAAGGTCACCAGGCCCTGCTAGCCTCTGCAACAACCACAGCCCGGCTGGTAGAAGCCGGCAGAGGCCGGCAGGGGCAGGTGTGTTAGAGACGGCGACCCCAAGGCTGGCCCTACCTTTGTTCATACTTTCCATTGCCTCTTAAACTCTGCTAAGGAAATAGGCTCAAAACTTTCTGAGCGAAGCCTTGAAACTTAGATTACAAACTATTTTAACAAGCAACAAAAACGTGCATGAAAACCGCTAAGATATGAAATCACCCTAAAGGGTCACATGGTCAAATTTCCTTGGGACATTTTTCAAAGGATGATTATTTAAATCTTCTTGATAAAGAATAATACTTGAGTGTGAAATATAAACGCTAAATGTGATCTAAATGTTTTAATACTAAAAGAAAAACAACTGGAGACATAAGAAATCTTGTTTAGAAATAGAATACAGAAACAAGTAACAGTAATTCACCGGTAGAGAGAATGAGCGCCTGCGAGTCCTCTTAGCAATTTTGGAGTTGGGATGTTCCTTAGGAACACTATTTCCAGAGTCAGGATCCTGATGGCTATGTCATTTATCAAACATTTTTAAAGTGCCACCATACAAGGTACCCAGGACAGAACTAGTACACAGACACGTGCGGGAGCTGACACCTAAACAAAGAATGAGCGTGCTCAGCACGGGGCACTGGCACGCGTACTAGATTCCAACTCAGCGAAGAGTTTAAGCTAGAACTGTCTGGAAAATGCAGCACATCGTAAATAAAATAAGGATTTGGTATAATTGCACATTCCAGAGATATACGGGTTTCATTGTTGCTGTTATTGTTATAATTTTTGCCCTTTTAAAAACATTTTTTTCTGATTAAATAGCCATACCTGCTGAATCCTAATAACATGGCAAACAGTGAAACACACAAAAAAAGAAATTGTTCCTGTTCTCGAATTCCACCCGCCATATGCCCACTGTGTGCATGCTGTTGTACCTTCTCTCAGTACTTTTCATAACATCTAGGTATATAATTTTTTCTTAAGAAAAAAATGATATTATAATAATACATGATTTTGTAGCCACTGTCTATTTTAGATGTTAAATATGCTTACTTGCATAAATGTTTTTAAAATGCTTAAATCTACCTACAGTGCTTCAGGAGGCAGAAGTTCTGGGTTCTAGATCTTACCCCAACATGGATCAGCTGTGCAACTTTGCAACTTTGAAAAAGTCCCTTAAATGTTCTCAAATTCAGTCATTTTGTTGCAAAATGAAGATAATAATAGCCAACATTTATTGAACAGGCACCGATCAAAGTGTTTTCCATACATTATCTTAACATAATCCTCCCAGGATTACAATTCAGGTAGATGTTATACTTTTTGAACCTTTCAGATAAGAAACTGAGGCACAAAGAGGGTAAGTGTCTTCCCCAAGGTCCCACAGCCAGGCAGGAATGGGCTCAAGATTCAGACACAGGCAGTCTGACTCCCGTCTGTAACCACTAATGGTGCTTTCCCTTCGGAGGGCAGGAACCTGGACACAGGACTTTTTAACTCCCTCCTATTCTGGATCTGTGATGAATGGCCTGTGAAATGAACATTTCCTTCATATGATTTCC